TTTCTAAAAACTTTTTATCTACTTCTTCTATTTTCACCGCCGACTTCCTCTTTCTCCTCTCATTTTCTCACCATCGATAACATCTCATCTTTCTTCTCTGATTCACCAAATCTTTTCTCGGTTTCACCAAAATTAGAAATTTAGGGAAATTATACAACCAAACCGTTTGCTCTAATTTCAGTTTTACTTCTTGTCGTCTTCCTCTTTCTCATGTCTTCTTCTCATTTGTGATATTCTCATATTTTTCTCTGATTTCATGTTACTCCTCCCCAAATCCTTTCACGATTTTACAAAACTCAAAATTTTAGAAAACTACAATCAAACCTTTTACTATAATCTCAATCCACCCTCTCGCGATTTCTTTTTTCTCTTATCTTCTTATCACGTCTGATATCCTCATCTTTATCTTCTTCGATATTTTTTATTATTATTTCTAATCAAAAGTAAACTCATATAGTTAACTATATTTATATATTTATATAGCACTCATGTAATAGTAAACTATACTTTGATTTTCAAATAGTGAACTATATTAATAGTTAAACTAATTCACTATTCCAGTTAAGTTGAATATTTTGATTTTCAAGTAGTGAACTATATTAATATTGAAATTATTTATATAGTAAACTATATTGATATTATGATTTACAAGTAAATTAATATAGCCAACGATTCGTCCACGTCACAACAACCATCCTTTATTTGGACATATGAAAGAAATAATTCACTATTCAAATAAACTAATATTGTCAACTATACAAACTTTTTCTTTCTTACTTTACTTTCAAAAGCATGTGGATGTGAACACGAGAAATTGTTCCCATTTTATAAGATATATTCATCAATGATTGTTATTGGGTAAAAATCAAATCTAATAATCCATACACCCAATATATATCTACAGATTTATATTAGAGTCCCCCGACCAATTATACACCTAATTAACCCATAACTCTATCCGTTCTTGTATTAAAAAGTGTGTTTAATTTTTATGGATTTATTGTTTATTCTTCTTAATTCACATTAAATCATTTGTGTTCTATTACTAATAACACCACTTATCACTAACGCGTAAAAGATATACTGTTACGAAGAATATGTTAATTTGAATTATGACCTTTAATCTTTTTTTTTATTTTTTTGAAACCTTGACCTTTAATCTTAACTAACGCATAAGATTACTTGATGCATGTTATATTGTTGTCTTTGAACTTCAGATTTGAGCTCCAATTTTCTATCCACAATACATTCAGAAACTTAACAATGGACATTATTACACGAGTTCATTGGAGAGAGACTTTTTTTTTTGTGATCGGCCAATAGTATATAAGCGAAAGCTTAGATAATAGCAACAAAAATTTCCGGCTAAAATAAAATACACAACAAGATAAGATGACGAAAGATTCGGACTTTAGCTGCAAAATTTGGGGTTTTAATATGCTAATGATAATGGTGGAGTTCTCCACCAATCCATCTCTAACGCTCTAGAGAGTTCTTTTATCTATTTTTCGTAAACGATTAATGTCGACTAAAGCCTAAACTACCCATTATAATTATCATGATTAACACTTGCGACTAAACAACAATTTTTAATATTAAATTGTGATGTAAATCTGCGTCGTTATCGGCTTCTCATGATATTTTTCTTAATTCTAATATTGTTTCTTATATGATGTCGTCGACTATTTGAATTTTAGAACCATATTCGTTTGGCTTGTCCCGTTGAAAATTCGTAGCGATTAAATGTTAATGATAATAGGTATCTTATAGTTTTCATGTTTTACATTATCTACGAGATTATGTTTGGAGTCTACATATCTTGTTTAATTTTTCATATGTTTGATTCCAAATCAAAATAAATGTCGTTCTAAGACTATAAGTTCGATTGGTGAGTTTCACAAAAAGAGAAAATAAAAAGTTGATAAAATATAGTTGAAAGAAATTAATTTATCGTTACGTTTATTTTTATGATATCACTTACCGTTGTAATAAATAAGAGAAATCCAATCAAATTTGATATTTTTTTCATGTCCACTAAAATAGAAAAAAGATGAGGAGGAATTAGTAGGCGACCCATTAATAAGAATATCACAACTGTTTTGGAAGCTGCCCTGAGCCGTCACTCACCATCTTATTCTTATCTCTTCCATTTGATTATTATCAACCAATTTATTTATTATTCTATTATAAAAACTCCACTACAATTTTTATAATCACAAAGAATAATACGAAAACCATATGATAAACAGTTGAAACAAAACCATGTATACGGATGTCTAATTCTTTTTTTTTTAAACTCATCAAATTTATTTATTTTTGCTAAAAACAATAGTTAATTCAATATCGCGTGACCACGAAAAAAAAATTCAATATCGAAAGAAATATGGACCGAAAACCAAAAAAAATTATTACTAACAAAAAAGTTTAAACTCATCAAATTTAAGATCAAAACTCCAACTAATTTCTTGAAATTCATTAGAAATAATTTTCCTTGACGTCTATCGATAGTAAAAAATAATTAAAATCACATTGTACACATAAAAATCTCTCAATAAATTATTTAACGAATTTTAATTTTTTTTTTTTAACTATTAGACTAACACCTCTTTTTACGAAAAACTCATATATATGAAACCGAAGCTTGTATTATTGAAATTATTACTATTTTACACGAGTGATTTGATTGTTGGTTAGTCAACAACACAAACCTAATTTCATATAGATTTTACAGAGAACCTTTGTTTTTATCAGTAGTAAAAAAGGAGAATCTATATGAAAAACATCTAATTAATCAATCGTGTTTTTGTAGGTTTAAGTTTTTTTTTAAAGCAAAAATAAAATTTAAAACTAAAAATTAACAAGTTTTTGTGGTTACAA